GTACGATGCCGGAAGCAGTTGTGCGGTTACCCACACCTCCAGGCAAAGTCGCTTACCGCTCGCCATACCGAGTTGCAGAAGCTTTGAAACCTGTTTTACACAAACAGATTAACGAATGGTTAGAAGCTGGTGTGATCGCTGAATCCCCCACTTACACACCGTTCAATAGTGGTTTGACATGTGTTCCTAAATGCGATCCCTCTACGGGTGAACCCATTGCCTATAGGTGGTGCATGGACGTGCGACACATTAATGCCATGTTAGACGATTACAACTTCCCTATGCGGGACATACCTTTCATTTTCGCCTCGTTATCGGGTAACACAGTGTTTAGCGTTTGCGATGTAACCGCTGCTTTCAATACTATGCCTATTCTACCCGAGGATCAGTTCAAGCTCGGCATGATTGTCGATAAGACTTGTTACATCTGGAAGCGCGCCTGTTTTGGATTAAAAATCCTTCCGCAACAATGGAGTGCCTTGCTCACCAAGCTGACTCATGATCTTCCATTTGTGCAAACGTATCTTGACGATTGTATTGTGGCGTCGCCAGACCTGGAGACACATAAGAAGCACGTTAGCATTCTGATCCAACGATTGACATCTGTGAACCTTACCTTAAACAGGAAGAAGTGTCATTTTGCCCAGAAGTGTGTTTACTTGTTAGGATACCAGATTTCGGCTTTGGGTATTGCTTTAGACCCTCGCAAAGTCTCCAACGTTCTTGATTGGCCCCGGCCTCAGACCGGCCGTGATGTGCAAAGCTTCTTAGGCTTATGCAATTTCTTTCGCTCCTTTTTGCCTCGCGCTGCAGAGTTGATGCGGCCACTCGACCGGCTGCGAAACGCTCGTTCACTTGATGGTCTTTGGACTATGAAGCACACGGAAGCTTTCGAACGGTTGAAAGAGGTACTTTCACGAGCTCCTGTTCTCAGCCATGTTGACACCCAGCATGATTTTCACCTTGCAACAGACGCTAGCAACACTTCCATCGGGGGGATGCTTTTCCAAGTCCTTAACAATCAATATCGTTACATTGGTTTCGTGGCTCGAGCACTCACTTCTAGTGAATCCCGTTACGGAACGACAAAACGCGAATTGCTTTCAATCGTATATTGCCTACAGAAATGGCGTCAGTGGTTATGGGGTTCACGTAGACCATTCACGGTTTATACCGACCATCGCGCGCTTACGTTTCTTCACACTCAACCCGTCGCCAACGCCATGATGGTTAACTGGCACGATGTGATAGGCGAATTTTCATTTAAGGTCGTGCACATTCCTGGCATTCAGAATTTGCTGCCTGATTACTTGAGTCGTTTGTTCTCAGAACCGTTGGACAGCGACAACAACAGGAAAACCCCTGGCAACCAGGTTGAAAACTCTTTACCAGCAGACGCACAGTCACCTGTGTTACGCATGAGTCAAGTGACCAACACTGCTGACATGATTACACCACCAGAGGATGCACGGGCTGATCTATTACAGGAGGCTCATCTCTTAGGTCACTTCGGCGCAGACGCTATCGTCAATGCCATTCACGATGACGGTCTTCACTGGACTAACATTCGCAAGGATGCACTTAATACAGTGGCCAAATGCCCCGATTGCCAACGCTTTAACATTGGGAAACACGGTTACCATCCTTTAAAACATGTAATTGCTAACAGACCTGGTGACCACTGGGCTATTGACCTAGGTTCGTTTGACACCGTTTCTGACAGCGGGAATTCTTATCTACTTGTTATGCTGGACATTTTCACACGTTTCGTGGTTCTTCGAGCCATACCTGACAAATGCGCTTCAACTATCGCGCGCACCTTGGTTGATGTTTTCTCTTTGCTGGGCTATCCTATGGTCCTTACGCATGATTGGGGTACGGAATTCCACAATTCCTTATGCAAGCTTCTTGCTAAAGCCTCGGGATATGAATTACGGTTATCATCCAAATACCATCCGCGTGGCAACGGTGCTGCCGAGAAGGCTGTGGGCATTGCAAAACAAACCATCATCAAACGCTTACAAGGCAAAGCTACGGAGTGGGATATGTTCGTCGGTAGCGCACAGCTTGCCATGAATTGTCGTCACACACGAATCCATAGTTCTCGTCCTTTCAGTGTGATGCTTGGTCGGAAACCTAATGGCTTTCAGGATTATACTGGTGTTCAGCTCGGTACGGCCTCTTCGTCTTTGCAGGATACCAAGGCTTTGATGCAACACATCACCAACTGGGAAAAAGTCGTTATTCCTGCTCTCAGTGCACGCATGAATGCCGTACGCGCTCTGGAAAAGAGTAAGTTTGACAGTCAGAACCGCATTATTGACGGCTTTCCTATCGGCAGTAAGGTCATGATCAAGAACATTGCACGAGCGGCTAAGACCGATCCTCGTTATGTGGGCCCTTACACTGTCTACGGTCTTACCAAAGGAGGTAGTTATGTTCTTTCCGATACAACTGGTGAATTGCTCTCAAGAAACGTTCCACCTTCGCATATGAAGTCCATCTCACCGGATACTACTGTACAGTCCGAAGACACATACGAGATTCTTGCAGTCGTGGATCACAAACTTGATGACAAGAACCAATACCTATACCGGGTACGTTGGAAGGGATATGATGACCCTGAAGAGGACACTTGGGAACCGGCCGATCATTTCAATAGCTTGGATCTCATCCAACAATATTGGAGTCGACGTGCGACTGCTCCTAATTTCACTATCAAACGTCCACGTACTGAAGCTACCAGTACCCAATCGCGAGCAAGCAGCTCTTTCACGGCTCCTATCCACAGTCGTATAGAAACACGCTCGTCCAAGCGCAAACGTGTTGCCGCCAACACTGCCTCCAGTACTTAACGCGTTTAGCATGACTTTTTTATCCCATCATTTTTTTTTCTCCCACTGGGTTTTTCTGGGTTTTTCTAGTCATTTGGCATGCTGTTTTGTCCACAAACGTAGGGATCTACACAATCTTTTCACACGGTTGTCTTGTCTGGCGGGGGGTAATGTCGTATCCTACACCTTCCCACAGAGAATGCCTTCTTGTTTCAGGCTCAGACACATCCATTCTATTCGTTCTTTCGACGGCACCAACCGTACGTCATCCATTGGTCCAGTTTCTGCCAACATCTGTCCAAAACTACTTTGATCTAGATTAGGACATCAAAGGACTCATCGAGTTTACCCGAAACATGGATAAGTTACTTAACAGGACGCTCGTCCTATATCGCCGCCTAAACATGGATTCGGAACATCACCAAGAAGCGTTCATCCCAACCGCTTCAACAATATAAATATCTGAGTAGTTTGTCATCAATAAAAAGATCTGGAATTCGGTCTCGCACTTTCACGTCTGATCTTATTTTAGAATATCACACCCCTGCATGTCTTCCTAACCATGCTTGCCCAAGGGTGGTTTGGAAACTCGATATGGTCGCAGAACTGTTGTTCCTGACGAACCAAATTGTTGTATCCACAACATAATTATGGCTTATGCATCATTTACCCTTGTTTGCTTATGGACAACAGGTTACTTTAATTTTCCGATCTACAGCCACATCCCTGTCTTGACATGTGTTCATCGTAATAACCTTGCCTATCTTAGTGAAACCCACATAACCCTGGTTACCACAGCAGTTTATGTGCCTTACAACCATGTCAATGATCCAACCCCTCGAGAATAAGCTTTTATTATTTAAAGTGATGATTCAACATATGAAATAAATCAGTCATTACTTGAGTCTCGTCACTTACCTGCCTTTTACTATTGTTGAATATCACACAAATCATTGAGCTTATAAATCTTATGACACTTTTGACAAGTAACATAAGAAGTCAAACTGTCTTCATAAAAAGCAACCCCCATATGGCCGCGAAGCGTGGACACTTTCTTTGGCAACTTGAACAGAGCATTGACCTCAGAAAGAAGAACATTGACAAACGCCATTAACAATTCTCCAGCAGCCTCAGACAGGAACTGCCGCTGGAAGAGAACTAGGAACATGCCAAGGAACAAGTACAGCCTCTCAGAACCAGTGGTTGGCTCTGGGTGTACAGACAATAAAAAACATGGTTAAAAGAGTATAATTTTTGGTAGTAACGACACTAACCATTCTCAGTTGTAGCAAAAGGGATCTCGTCCTCGCCATTCTCATTGCTGCCCTCATTGCTACCGTCTTTGACATTTTCGCTCTCGTTTTCGCTGTCAAAATTGACATCGTCATTCCAATACGCGTCTGGAAGACGCAAAAAGTTCTCTTCCACTACAACAGGCTGCGCTGGAAGTTCGTTGTTTGCAGCAGTGATTTCAACAGCACCTTCATTACCACAGCCGTAATTGTATTCACCATCTAATTTGTTATGTTGATTAACTTTACAAAGTACCTTTTTTTTTGGTACCTTCTTGGAAATCAACATCCATGTTGCTATTACGTCTGGCAACCATTTCGTCATAACGATTGGTGCCAATGTATTTGTAATGGCAAAGACGTGTTCGAGGCTTCTGGGGTAAATATGTCTCTTTGCTTGCTTTAAAGCAATTATCATAATAGCAAGGTACAAGTTTCTTCTGGCACATATAATGGAATGACATTTTTGGTAAAAAAAAGGATAAGGTACAAAAAGTAGTAGTAATAGGACTTTGGGTGTTTTTTTGTGATTAAATTATCCCTTCAGTCTGAAATTGACTAGCAAAAAAAATTTGACCAAGTAAAAATTGGTCTGAAATTGACTTGGAGAAAAAAAGTTGGTCTGAAATTGACTAGGAAAAAAAAAGTTGGTCTGAAATTGACTAGGAAAAAAAGTTGAAAAAAAAAAGTTTGTTGGTTTAAAATAGACTTAGGAAAAAAAATTAACTAAGAAGAAAAAGTTGACTAGGAAAAAAAATAACTTTTTTTTTTAGCTAGCTCAAATGCTCAAAAGCTAAAAATCATTTTAAGTGCAGTGGAGGTTTCTTGCTGCTCTTTACACAAAATAAATGTGATAGAGGGTGCAAAGAGTTCTGACAGCGTGCCAGAGTGGTTAATGGGTGAGACTCGAAATCTCATGGGCTCTGCCCGCGCAGGTTCGAATCCTGCCGCTGTCGGTAATTTATGGGTCTTTTTGGCAAACAGTGTTGTGTTGTAGCCATTCTGGTAGGTGTGTCGTGTCACTTTTTGGCAGATAGATTCATGGCCAATAACAGAAAAGAGGTTTGAGAGAGAAGTAGATAGATGACGTTTATTGCTTTTGTCTATGGGGATATTTATATAATCTAGCTAATAAAGTATTATCTGTAATAATGCGTGTAATGACTATGGTATGAGTAATGTGGGCAACAAGGTGAATATGTGTGAGTCATGCTGGGGTCTAAAAGGGATGGACGCGTTGTGAGTAATATTCGTGCAACAGCGCGTTGCTGTGCAACAAAGAGGTATCACGAACGATCTGTCCAAAAAGAGAAATACAAAGAAGCCCGCCAGAATGGTTACGACAATATTGTGATATTCAACAATAAGAAGAGGCCGGTAAGTGACGAGACTCAAGTAATGACTGATTTATTTCGTATGTTGAATCATCACTTTAAATAATAAAAGCTTATTCTCGAGGGGTTGGATCATTGACATGGTTGTAAGGCACATGAACCGCTGTGGTAACCAGGGTTATGTGGGTTTCACTAAGATAGGCAAGGTTATTACGATGAACGCATGTCAAGACAGGGATGTGGCTGTAGATCGGAAAATTAAAGTAACCCGTTGTCAATAAGCAAACAAGGGTAAATGATGCATAAGCCATAATCATGTTGTGGATACAACATTGCCCCCCACCAGGTTGAAGCAACCGGCTGAATAAGATAAAGTGCACGTGTAGTATAGGTGTCATCTGGAAACTCAAATGTAAAACCCAATGGGAGAAAAAGTGTTGAGAACAGAAGACCTAAGTGCGTCTGCGTTTGGTTGTGCGATTAGAGCGACGAAGTGGTTTGCCACCTCGTTTACGATTCTGCCGATCTAGGTTGCGACGTTGCCAATATTTTTCAATCAGCGTTCTGTCGTTAAAGTGTTCCGGAGGTTCCCAGGTGTCATCCTCGGGAGCATAACCCTTCCAGCGCACTCTATACCTGTACTGACCGTTCTCACTCTTATGATCCACAATGCTTTGAATCTCATAGAAGTCCTCGCCTGAAGCTACGGTTTCTTGTGAGATGAGCTTAATGTGGGAAGGTGGAATATCACGAGCCAATAGCGCTCCAGTTTCGTCCGTAAGGACATATGGTCCGCTTTTACCAGATCGTCTGCCATGTACGGTGAAAGGTCCTTCGTAACGGGCGTCGGTTTTAGACTTCCTGTTGACGTTGAGGATCATGACCTTACTACCGACTGGAAATTCAGGAAGAATACGATTTTTCTCATTGAACTTCTTATCTTGAACTGTGTGCAGGGCTTTCACGCGCTCAGCTATGGCAGGCAGCACGACCTTTTCCATTTCCTCCAACCTACGATCAGAGGTGCGAGCAGCAGCGACATTACCCAAAGGAGTCTCGGAGTAGTCTAGCCATTGATTGGGTTGACGAGCAAACATCAACGAGAAAGGTCGGGATTTGTGTAACGCAGCATGCTTACTGTTGATGCTTAGTTGAGCACTGGAGAGAAAGGTATCCCAATCCTCCTTTTTCCCTTGCAGTCTCTTAACAATGACCGACTTGGTCGTGTGCACCCATTTTTCAGCAACGCCGTTGGCACGGGGATGCCATGGGGTGACTAGACGATGATCGATACCGGAGTGTTCGACCATGAGACGCACAAGCTCATTTGCAAACTCGGTGCCATTGTCCGATTGAAGGACTTTAGGCCAACCAACGAGATTAAACACGTCGATGAGTTGTTTCGCAATAGACAGAGCGGTTTTGTCTGGAATAGCACGCAAAATACAGAAACGTGAAAATATATCAACCATAACGAGTATGTAATTGTTACCATTCGGTGTGGTGGCGTTCATGTCAGCTAGGTCAATTGCCCAGTGATCGCCAGGACCATCTGCGGTGATTCTACGCAGTGGTGCATAGCCGTGTTTGCCAATGTTGAACATTTGACATTCAGGACACTTGGCAACGGTATTGAGTGCGTCAAGTTTTATGGACTTCCAGTGAAAGCCATCACTATGCAGCTCATTGATAATGGCATCAGCGCCAAAATGCCCGTTGAGGTGTGCTTGCAAGAGTAGATCACTGCGGACGTCCTCGGGTGGTGTGATGTAGTCGACGATGTCAGCGGCGCGCGCAAGTTGTTTTGTTGAGGAAGAAGAGGCAATGGAGCTCTTACTTTTCCGTGACGACACTAAAGTGCCCAAATAAGGAGAACGCGCTAATTTATGCTGATCATCAGAATCACCCTCCTCCTCACGGAGAGCGTTCGACGGAAATAAGCGACTTAACGCATCCGGGAGAATATTCTGGATACCCGGAAGGTATATGACCTCGAAGTTATAGTTCGAAATGATGTCAAGCCAATTGATCATCATAGGCGAAGCAATCGGTTGCGTATGTAAGTACTGCAGAGACCGATGGTCACACAAAACCGTAAGTTTGCGTTGCCATGTAAACTTATGAAACTTCACAAGACCATAACAGATAGCTAAAAGTTCTCTTTTGGTGGTGGAGTAGGAGACCTCAGCTTTGTTCAGGAGCGTGCCATGAAGCCGATGTAGCGATAGCTATTGTCAACGATCTGATAGAGGCTGCAGCCAATGGCAAATTGCGATGCATCAGTGGCCAGATAATAAGGTAGTTTTTCGTCAGGCTGACTAAGCACTGGAGCAGATTGCAGCGCTAGCTTCACGTTGTTAAACGCAAGCGTATGCTCTTCTGTCCATAAGCCATCAAGGCTTTTAGCAGAGCGTAAAGCATCAAGAGGTGCTGTCAGTTGTGAGTAATTCGGGATGTGCTCACGGAAATAATTGGTTAAGCCCAAAAAGGACATAACATCACGACCAGTTTTAGGTCGGGGCCATTCCATAACGTTGGTCACTTTGCGTGGATCAGGAGCTATAATTCCTTGTTGCACGACGTAGCCAAGCAAATAAACACACTTTTGAAAGAAGCGTGCTTTCGCAATGTTCAGTTTGATATTATGTTCAGTGAGACGACGGATAACACGAGCAACAGTGTCACGATGCGACTCGTAATCATCACCCCAGCAGATACAATCATCAATATAAAATGCAATGTTCGGAATGTCAGAAGTCAATCTGTGTAACGTGCGTGCATAATGGGAGCTAATGTTTTTAAGCCCATAAATAGCGCGGGTGAAAACATATTTTTCCGTATCCTGGAAGGTGAACGCGCATTTCTGCATGCTACTTTCCGAGAGCGGCATTTTGAGGAAGGCATCACTCATATCGAGCACACTAAAGTATTTAGCATGACGAAGACGCCTAAATATGCCAGAGATCGCCGGAATAGGAAATCGGTCGTCACGACTAATCCCATTGAGCAATCTTGTGTCAAGCACAATTCTGATGGAATCTGGGGTATAGACACCCTCAGCATTCTTCTTTGGCACGAAAGTGATAGGATTGTTGAAGTTTGTACCAGGAGGAGCCTGTTTAATGACACCATCAGCAAGCCATTTATCGAGTTGTTTACGAATTGCCGGAATGATAGCATCAGGCAGTGTATACTGACGTCGATTTGCGACTTTACCAGGTTCGGTATCAATTTCGAAGACAGCCTCAGGCAGATTGCAAACGGCACTCGCAGGAATTGCAGCGTTTTCGTCAAGAAGCGGCTGAATGTATTCAAGGAATTGCGCGTGTTGTTCAGGTGTTCCAGCTGGGGAATTTCCTGGATCTTCAATAAAAGTAGTAGCTGGAGCTTGAGGTCTAGTGTTATGATCCCAGCAATAGGCAATACCTTTCAAGTAAATGCCCAAAGATGCCAGAATATCAGCACCCAAGGAAACCTCAGCATCAGCGTTAATGTCCATAATCTCAAAAGTGTGCGTCGCAGAATATCCATTGTGAACAATGTTTATTTTTGTGTAGCCAATTCTATCTACCCCAACTCCAGGAGCAGCAAGACCGATTTGTCCCGAAGCCGAGACAACCGAGAGACCAAGACGAGAAGCAAGAGAAGGCGTGATCGCAGAAAACGTTGCGCCTGGATCAATGAAGGCGAACAAACGTGCATCCTGAATCGTAACGCAAGTATAGAATGCTTTAGTGTTTTTGAACGAATAACGATCATGGTCATTTGGCTTACATTGCGAGCAAACGTTTCTGAGTTCGGACTCCAACTCAGACATCTGAATGTCCTCGGAAACGGGGACAGGCGGCGAAGAACTTGCTGCAGGAGCAGCCGGAGCCGAAGATGCTGGTGGCGCAGTTGGTGCTACAGGAGCAACCAAAGCAGAAGATGATGGCGACGGCTGCGAGGCCGAACCAGACGAGACAGCAGAAGAGGGTTCGCCAGTAGAGGCGGAAGTGACAGTGGCGGCAGACGGAACAGGAGCCGAAACTGGGGCAGGTGATGACGTGGCCTGTGCTGGGGTGGTTGTGTCCAGCGAGAGACACGCCGACCGAATAGCGAGGTGGTTTACCCCACTACCACACTTGTGCGCACGACTCCAGGGAGCACCACAGCGGAAACACGGCTTTGTCCCAGAGGACGAACGAGAACCCGAACCAGACGACGACGCGGAAGACGACGACGATTGCGCCGACTGCGCATTCTTGGTAATGTTACCGCCATTGTTGGCACGGAGGGCGGCAACCTTCTTGCACTCGGCGGTTGAGTGCTTGCCGCGGCCATGGAAGCGGCAAAAACTCCTCGTTGGCCTGTTGGTGGCGGCAGGAGCGGCAGCAGAAGACGACGAAGACGACGACGCGCCAGCAGAACCAGAAGAGCGAGGCGCACCAGCCAAACGAGAAGAGGAGGCAGCAGCGGCAGCAGAGTCGAGCGCAGCAGCCTCAGGGCTGTGCTGCGACAACACAACCTTCCCGTAAAGGTTGCGGGCAAGGTTGGCGGCTTGGTCGGTGGAGACCCGTTGGTCAGTAGAGAGGTGGACCTGTGCCAGTGCCACATGCTGGCAGAGCTCCGGCAACAACGAG